CCCGCGGGCGCCATGGCGCCCGCGGGCACCGTGTTGGAGACCACGGCTCTAGATCATTTTCAATCGCCCTCGGCCTAAGACAGAGTTCTGTGGTTTTCTGCCTTACTGACACTCTTCAACTCTTAGCCATTAATTGTTAGTTAGTTAGTGTTTTTTCTTCTCATGTAGTTAGTTAATTGTAGTTTAAAAATTTTTTTTTTTGGTCATGCCCGGCGCTCCAGGTTTTAAATTCTGCAATTCTGATCTACGATGGTCGCTCGCAATGCATCAGATGTTTAGGGGAGCACCATTCATTACAAGATTGTCCTCACTGTGCCAAACTTAAGGCCAGGACTCCCAGGGACAGGGACCTTCACCTAAAAATTAGTCTACCCTGCTTTGGATCTGGGAAGGCAACCCAGACTCCCGTCAGGGCAAGAAAGCTCCAGAAAAGAGGAGTTCCTTCGTGCCTTATCAGCCATCCTCCAGAAAGCGGTCTCCACCCAAACCATCGGCACAGAGGTCCTGCATCAGCAATTACAATGTGCCGGGCACCTCAGGTGTTCAAACACCATCAGCTGCTGGTGGCACTGACTAAAAAGGCCTAAACACCACCCTAAGACTATACCGGTACAGAGTACACTACTGCTGTCTACGTTGGTACCATCTCATGCATCAGCGATACCCATAACTATGGCACCGATAGCACTATTGGCACCACACTCAACGGCACTGACCACTTCTTCTGCACCGACGGTGCCCCTCGTTCCTCGGCACTGTCAGCCCTGACCAAAGCAGTGGCATTGGTCAAATACTCAGTAACGCAGACATACCAGCAAACATACCAGCAATCTATTCCATCCATGCTGAACACACCGTCAGCACTGTATAGACATACATTGCAAACCCCAGCACCAATCCTTGCTGTACATGTGAAACACTGACTTAGCAGTAACATGTGCCCCTCAGTCACCACTTTTGGGCACGGATGCTTTGCCGGCACAGACAACATAAGAACGGCCATACTGGGTCAGACCAAAAGTCCATTTAGCTCAGTATCCTGTCTGCCGACAGTGGCCAATGCCAGATGCTCCAGAGGAAGGAATCACAACAGGTAATCCTTATGTGATCCCTCCCCTGTCACCTACCTCTAGAGAAACAGAGGCTAGGGATACCATTCCTACCCATACTGGCTAATAGCCATTGATGGACCTAATCTCCATGAATCGATCTAGCTCTTTTTTGAACCCTGTTAAAGTTCTAGCCTTCACCGCATCCTCTGGCAAGAAGTTCCACAGGTCGACTGTGCGCTGAGTGAAGAAAAACTTCCTTTTGTTGTTTTAAACTTGCTGCCTATTAATTTCATTTGGTGACCGCTAGTTCTTTTATTGTGAGAATAAGTAAATAACTTTTCCTTATTCACTTTTTCAACACCAGTCATGATTTTATAGACCTCTATCATATCTCCCCTGAGTCTCTTCTTTTCTAAGCTGAAAAGTCCAAGTCTTTTTAATTTCTTTTCATATGGACCCATTCCAAACTCCTAATAATTTTTTGTTGCCCTTTTCTAAACCTTTTTCAATGCCAGTATATCTATTTGAGATGAGGTGACCACATCGGTATGCAGTATTCAAGCTGTGGGTGTACTATGGTTTTGTGTAGAGGCAATAAGATATTGTCTGTCTTATTCTCTATCCCTTTTTTAACGACTCCTAACATTCTATTTGCTTTTTTGGCTGCTGCTGTATACTGAAGTGTGGGGCCCGGGGCGGCCGCCCCGCTCGCCCTGCCCTATATCCACCTCTGCAAAGATTTCTTCATCGTTCCATATAAATGAACCTGTAAACAATACTGTTTTCAGAGAACTATCAACAGTGACACCAAGATCTTTCTTTTGAGTAGTTGTAGGCAAATTAGTCTCCATCATATTGTGTATATATAGTTGGGATTTTTTTTCCAATGTGCATTACTTTGTATTTATCAACATTAAATATTGTTTGCCATTTTGTTGTCCAATCACATGCTACAACATCACATGTTCTATCCCTGGTGCCATTGCAATTTTCCAGTGGTGATGAGGAAGGGGTTCAAGCCTCCTCCACTCCGCACAGCAGTCCTCCAATGCAATATTACAAGCCCCAGTATGACCCAAGGGTGATTTCCCCTTGGTATGGGCACCACTGGATGCCTACTCCTTTACCACATCCTATACAATGGCAATATTGGGGTCATACAGGAGACATCACAGCCTAGAACTCTGAGCCCTTACAAACACACTGCCTCCCATACACCACGCACAACCTCATCGTTGCTGCAGTCAACCTCGGGCACCCCAACCGATGAAGGAGTCCCTTCTGGATACATCACTACCTACCAGCTCATCTTCATCACCGGATGAGGCAGTGATGCCGCCTCGACTGTCAGCCACTAATGACTTTGAGCAGTTGAGCTCAAAATTGCCACGGAAGAAGTGGTGGGACCCAGCATGAGCTCACCGATATATTCCAGGCTGTTCTATCCTACAAAATTGCTCTCCCCATTTATCCTACCATTTTTGACCTGGCCAACACAGTTTGGCATACTTCTTCATTGATGCCACCTACATGCAAGCGTGCAGACAGGAAATGCTATGGGCCCACCAATACCTCAGAATTTTACTCCGATAGGGTTACCCTTTGCACACATCCAAAATACTTACCAAAGATTCAGGGACAGATGACCGTTTTGCGGGGCCCCCCTTTGCCACGGCGCATGCGCGGGGCTTTTTGAAGCGCAGGGCCTGGGGCGGCCACCCCGCTCACCCTGCCCTATATCCGCCCCTGCAAAGATTTCTTCATCGTTCCATATAAATGAACCTGTAAACCTACCTGTATTCTTCCCAAAGCCACATGCAAATGCATTGGAGTCCACCATGCACACCGTTGATCTTCAACAAGTGTCTTTTTACTTATTCCTCAGATTCACCGATCGAGTTAAGAGACATCCCATATTGAAACAGAGGCTATCGAAATGGATTACAGACTGTATAAAAATCGCTTACACGCTCAAGGGCCTACAGCCACCATTGGGCTTGACAGCTCATTCCCCCAGGGCCGTATCCGCTTCCATTGCATACCTACGCAACATGCCACTAATGGGCATTTGCAAGGCAGCCACCTGGGCATCACGGCTTACCTTTGTTAAGCACCATGCACTGTCCTACGCGTTTGACACCACAGAGGGCTCCACGGTGTTATCATTCATCTACTTTCCATAACATTCCAAAGCCCCAGCCATCAAGGGATGAAACTGTTTGTTAAGCACCAAGGCTATGTCTTCACTGGCGCGAACTTGCACCAGAAGTATGCAAATGAGGCTAAGCGTGGAATATCGCTGAGCCTCATTTGCATATCTAATGAGCCGTCATTTGTGCGGAAGCTCTTGCACCAGAAGGAGCTGTCTACACTGCCCCTTCTTGCGCAAGAAAAACCCTCTTGTGCAATGCCGTTATGCTGATTATTTTCAGGAATACCGGCATTGCGCAAGAGGGTTTTTCTTGCGCAAGAAGGGGCAGTGTAGACAGCTCCTTCTGGTGCAAGAGCTTCCGCACAAATGACGGCTCATTAGATATGCAAATGAGGCTCAGCGATATTCCATGCTTAGCCTCATTTGCATACTTCTGGCGCAAGATCGCGCCAGTGTAGACATAGCTCAGGTGTGGAGCATCCACAGGGACCTCTCAAAGAAGAAATGAAGGTTACTCAGCTTTGTGCAGTACCTGAAGTTCTTTGAGATGGTGTCCCTGTGGATGCTCCATGACCCACCCTCCTCTCCTCTGCTTTGGCCCTGGAGGGAGGTCTCCGGGGTAAAGAAGGAACTGGAGGGATTGGGCCGCGCATGTGTTGTGCATACTAGTATGGCGTGCGCTGGTTCATGTTGTGCATGTGTGGGCCTGCTTCAAAATCTCCAATCCCGGGGCTGGGACAACATCAAGATCAAGCTTGGAGCATCCATGGGGACACCCTCTCGAAAAACTCTAGTTAGTGCACAAGGTGAGTAACCTTCGTTTCTTTGCTCAGTGTTCTTAATTGGAAATCGTACCTGCCAATATATCAGACTCTGGTTTTCTTAGATAGGCGAGTAGTATCTTAGTATCCTCATCTGAAAACTGAGGTACAGAGATTAAGGGACTAATGCATGGCGACATAAGCAGTCTATGTCAGAGCTAGGATTGGATCTTAGGAGTTTTTGGCTCATCGTTCTGTTTGTTCTTGCATACTCAGGTTATGTCTAATATACACATCGGTGTAGATTCTGGGCACCCTCTAAAAATGAGATTTGCCATTATCCCTCTACTGGTGAGGACTGTTCTTTCTTTTCACTGATACAACTTTAAAGTGTTCAAATCCTAATGGTTTGCCAATTATCTGACTTGCACGTGCAGTGGTGATCGGTGTGAACTACACAAAGTTTCTGTGCTAAAACAACTGAATGTTATTCAGTGAATCTCAAAACTTCTTCTAGCAGTGAAAAAAAACCTGCATAATACTAGTCCAAATTGTATGTAAGAGGGAACTTTTCATTATTATGATATAGTGTAGTTTTAACTGAACTCTTCGTTTCATAGCATGTTTCCTCCTTTTTCCTCCATGTGTGTTTCTCTTGCCCCCCAAAGAAACATGTTGTAATTTATGCCACAGTGCCTGTTGTTTCTCAGGTCAGAGGTTTTGCATGACGATGAAAATATTTTTCACCTCCTGATACTGTTGGGGTGGGGTATGTCTAGACTGCAGCCCTCTGTTGGCAGAGGGATCTTCAATATTATTTTGGGCCCAGGAATCATTGCATGATCATCACAGGTATGTCTAGACTGCATCCCTGTGTTGGCAGAGGGATGCAGATTAGGCAGGTTGACATTGCAAATGAGGCAGGGATTTAAATATCCCGTGCCTAATTTGCATAAAATGGCCACCACGTTTTGACGACTCAGCACTTTGTCAGCAAAAAGCAGCAGTCTGGGGGAAAGGGTGTCTGTCGAGAAAGAAAGCCTTTTTCGACCGATCCTGTAAACCTCCTTGAGGAGATATAAGGGATCTGTCGAAAAAGGCTTTCTTTCTCGACAGATCCCCCTCTAGACTGCTGCTTTTTGCTGACAAAGTGCTGAGTCGGCAAAATGCAGCTGCCATTTTAATGCAAATTAGGCACGGGATATTTAAATCCCTGCCTCATTTGCAATATCGACCTGCCTAATCTGCATCCCTCTGCCGACACAGGGATGCAGTCTAGACATACCTGTGATGATCATGCAATGATTCCTGGGCCCAAAATAATATTGAAGATAAACCTCACAGTAACTGGGGATATGAAAGATCTTCTAGATCATCAGATCAATCCTCCTGCAAGGCTAGGGCACAGTCCCTTTGACAGAAAACATGCTGTACTTTCCTGTTAACAGAAATGGAGCTATGACTAAACTTATAGCAGTATGTAAAATACAGACACTGCATCCAGCTAGTATGGATATAAATAGCATTATAAACAGTGAAATGCAGCTTTGTAGAGTGTTGCTCTACACTATAGAACCTCCAACAGTGCATAGTCCACCCCAGTGTTTCTTAAATTGGGGTCTATGGACCCCCAGAAATCCTAAGGGTTCACAGGCCTTACGGATCACCTCCTCTCATTCCCTACCAGTGTCTCTTGCCATCCACGGGCACGTGCCCTACCTTTTCTAGTTCTGTGTTGCTCCCAGAAATAGTTGCCAAGTTCTGGCAGCCCCTTGGCTTAGAGCTGGCCAGGGAGGTTCTGCATGCTGCTCCCTCCCAAGTGCCAGCTCCACAGGTCCCATTGTTTGGCAACCACACCCAAAGAAAGCTGCATGGGTGGTGCTGATGAACCTAAGGGCTATCGAGACCTGGCAAGCACTTCTGGGAGCTCCAGTAAATGCTGCCAGGACCCTACAGTACAAACCCCCTCCCATATACTAGCCACAGTCTGGAGTCCCCTCCAGCACCCAAACTGTCTCCTGGAGCACCCTCCACCCCAAGCCCCTTATCCCTTGCCCCACCCCAGAACCAAGAACCCCACCTGGAGCCCATGTCTCTTGTCAACCTTCCTGTCCCCGCCCGGTGACAGTGACTGAGGGTCGGGGACACCAATTAATAGAGGGTGGGAGGATGGAGCAATCCAGGGTGGTGCCTCAGAGAAAAGGAGGAGGGCCCCTGAAAAATTTTAAAACGAAATGGAGGCCCATGTGTTGCTATGTGAGTAGCATTGGTCTGCACGCTCCAGTTGTGCTTCCTATATCAATGCTGCTATTTTCAGCAGTGTAGTGTCTTGCTGCCTAACAATTGCCTAACCCTTTTCCTGTCACTGTTACTCTCGCCAGGGAAATATTGTGGGAAAAGGATATGGCAGCTCCCCTCTGGCTTGGAGCATTTCCTCATTCGAGTAAAAGATGCTGGTGGTGATTCACTGCCAGAATCTTTCCCTGCTGCTGGAGACTTTTGCTGCAATGTGCAGCTCCATGCTGCAGTGACAAGTGTAGATGCAGCCTGCCTTTCACTGCAGTGTGTAGCCATGTGTATAGTGTCCATGATCTGCATGCTGCTGTATGTATAGATGTGGCCTAAGGGTAGATCTACACTGCAGTAAGAGGAATAAGTGTAACATGTGCAGATGTACCTGAGCTAGCTTCAATTTTGCTAACACAAGTATCAATAGTGGTGTAACCACAGCAGCAGGAGTGTAGAAGCCCTCTGTAGAAGCCCACTCAGGATTCTGGGTACTCAGGTGGCTAGCCCATGCTGAAGCCCTTGCTGCTTGTGGTTTCATTGCTATCGGTTCTCAGGCTAAATAGATAAAGCTAATTTAGGTATCTCTGCATGTGCTGCAATCATACCTCCTCTTGCAGTGGAGATGTACTTTTAAGGGGGAGAGAAGGCTAATCTTTCATGTTGGTTTTCACTGTTCATAATCCTTACAAATTTACTTCAAAGGATGCATGAATTGTTCTTGTGATATGTGCCTAGCTATTATGGAGATGAGCAATTTTTTTAAAAGCCCCTAAGATGCATACAAATTTGTCATGACACAGAAAACAATTAGTGAGATACCTTTGTTGTTTCCTCTCTAGACGGCACTGAACCCTCCCACATGCACTATGAAAACGATGAGAATTATTTCCGGGGCTATGAGTGGTGGCTAATGAAGGAAGCAAAAAAGAGGAACCCCAGCATTAAATTGATTGGTAAGGATTTGGGATTCCTCACTGGTCTGTGTTCCTGTTTTCAAACATGATTTCATACCTGACTCAATCTTAATTTGCCTCATTAAAGATAAGGAGCCAACTACTCTTTGTCACATTAGCCAGTGTACAGGCAGTTTACCTTACCACTTCATTAATATTACTGTGTGAATTTTGTTAGGTTTTATTGTGACAATGCCATGTATTGCTTTTTTCCCAGTTCTTTCCAGTGTTGGGTGATATTTATGCTTGTTCCAAATCACTAAACAAAAACAGTCAGTATGAGAGTTTTACACTGAGAGGTAAAGGCTAGAGACAGTCAATTGAAGCTAAAAATCCTCCAATCGTTCATGTACATTCTTCCTTTTTTCTTGGGTACCCTTTTTAGAAAAAATATTTTCTACTCCTATGCACAACAAACTGTTATTTATATCTTTCAGGGCTCTATTTATTCCCTTCAATCTTCTGTCAAACACTTTCAAAAACTTGCCCAAGCAGATAGTTCTATGAGGCCTTTACTGTTCTGCTCAGTTCAAGGCAGAGTCCTTTGTTTCCAGCAGTGGAATCTGCTTGTTGCCATTGAAAGGTTTCAAAATAAAGGTTGCCATTTAAACTAAAAATTATTTCTATTCTTTGATTGTAAAAACATGTTCCAAACCTGTACTGAACATAAACTACTGTAGTGATCTGATGCGCAAATACAATGACTCTCCCACTCGGGAAAAAGCCCTCTTGCGCAAATGCTTTTGTGCAAGAGGGCCAGTGTAGACAACTGAGAATCATTTTGCGCAAAAAAGCCCCAATGACGAAAATGGCGATCGGGGCTTTCTTGCGCAAAACTGCGTCTAGATTGGCACGGATGCTTTTCTGCAGAAAGTGCTTTTGCGCAAAAGCGTCCATGCCAATCTAGATGCTCTTTTCCACAAATGCTTTTAACGGAAAAACTTTTCCATTAAAAGCATTTGAGGAAAATCATGCCAGTCTAGACGCAGCCCTGGAGTTAAATTCTCAGCTAGTGTAAATATTATGTGACTTCATTGAAGTTAGTGGAACTCCACTGATTTGTAGTAAGGTCCTTATTTTTGCCATGAATATAGGTGGCTTACTTTTGTTTCCTATTGATGTATGCAGTGCACTAGTGATACACTAATGATCTCTTTCTCTCTTGATTTTTCTCTTTGTAGGGTTACCTTGGGCATTTCCTGGATGGATAGGAAGGGGACAGAACTGGCCCTATAATGATCCTGATGTCACTGCTTACTATATTGTTTCCTGGATTCTAGGTGCCAAACAGTTTCATAATTTGGACATTGATTATGTTGGGGTCAGTAAAGTACACATCTCAAATTATTTCATAATTGTTCTTTGTTAGTCTCTGAATATTGTTTTCCCCCTCCCACATTTCCCAGCCACTCTGTAGCATCCATTTAGCAAATCATTCTTTATCCAGAACCTTTTGCCTCTCGGTTCGGATGGAGCAGGGAGAAGTCTCATGGGCTAGCATTGTTTTGCTCTTCATAGGGGGCACAATACTGGTTTCATACTCTAAACTGTATACAATGAAAGTCTGACTTTGTCTTGTTCAGTTTGAAGTGTATAGATATTAATTCAGAATGTATTGTGTGGTTTGAGAACTTTCCTAAACCCTGGTTATGTGATCCATATAATGCAGCGATGTGCTGACAGTGTTTTGCAAAGAAGCAACAGCATACAACTGCCTCCTTATCTTCTAATAAACTAAAGGTTGTACCTCCCTAAAATGGGACTCTTTGGTCCAGCAACATTTGTGGTCTAGCAGGACTACAGATGTTGCTGGACCACAGAACCCAGGAATAGGGAGGTGTAGTGGTGAGGCCAGGAGTGCAGAAGGGGGGTCAGCAACTTGGCAGGAGCCCCATGGCAGAATGTGGGTGGGTGGCGCAACAGGGGCCTTTGGCACCGGAGAGCTTTGGCCCCAGAGACGGGGCCAGCAGTGGCTGGGGAGCTCTGGCCTTAGTGGCATCCTGCTGAGCTCGTTTCAGGGATGCTGGTGGCAGAGCCCAATAGCAGGTAGCCTGACCCGGAGCAGTGGGGTGAGGAGCAGGTCAGAAGCAGCCAGCATTAGGGAGGGGATAGGAGGGCAATGACCAGGGACCTCCTCTGGTCTGGCAAATTCTGAGGATGCTGAACCAGGGAGGTCCCACCTGTAAACTCTCCTGAGATACAAGTGTTTATAAGTGAATAAAGAGGGACTGTGCTGTTTTTCCTCATTTAAACAGAAACTTTCTCCTAGCTAGAAAGAAGAAAAGTGGTAGATCACCCGAGATTGGGGTCTTTGACTCTGATTTCAGTGGAATTGCACTCATCTGTTAACAGGACTGAACTTGTCCCACTGAACATTTTGAAGAGATAGCCAAGTGCTCAAGTTGTTAAATATGAAGGGGTGAAAACCTGGTTTGGAGTTCTGATACTAGGGTCAATGGACCCCCAAAATCATGCATCTTTCTGCAGTATAGAGGAAGTGCTATAGGATCTGTCTGCCTCTGCTGGAGGCTCAGTCCTTCCTGCCTGGATAGGTTTTAGATCCCTCATGGTCAGTAAATGATGATGGTACTTCTAAAGAGCAGTTTTATTTCTTTTTTGCCTTTGGACTGTTCACTTCTCTGAGAATAGCATGCAGCTCCTCGGTGCCTACATTTCCCATAATTAGTTGAGTTATGCCGTGTATGGCATCTGCATTGTATATTGTACAGTAAATAATGTTTGACCTATACAAAGTGGATAGAAGCATTTCTAAGTGGAAATTTAAATTCTAGAGGCCATATGCTTTTGGTGTTAGTTGTATCTTGTGTGATAGATCTCTGTGGTTATGGTCTCTTCAAAATGGGGAAATAGTGAAGGCTGTCTTGAGCAAGAGATACTCATTGCTAAGAAGCTTTTCTAACGGTTTCATAGCCACCTCTTCTTCCCTGTAGTTTTGCAACACATGTTACAGATTAGATACCATCAATTTTTTTTTATTGTATGATGAATTTCAGAAGCCTTTTCAATACATGTGTTTTGATGGGACTTCTGAAATTAGTCCAATAATGTTAGAACCTGCAAGTTCAAACCTGCAGTCATAGTCTTTTGTAAATGTAAAAATCTACTAATAGGCTAGTTATTCCTTTTCAGAAGGAAGATAGACATGTATTTCCAAGGGCCTTTTAATAAACTGCTTTGAACTGTATTGATAGCTGTTCCCATTAGAGCCAATAACAAAAACAAGTGGAGTTACTCTATCTTTACATGAGAATCTGAAGCTATAGAATTCTGTTACATTAGTGGCTGTATAATTTTGCAGATTAAAACTTTGCTTATTTTGTACTGATGTGATTATTTTACTCTTCAGGCTAATGCATTTATTTTTGTAATTGCTTTTTTATGTTTCTTTTCTATAGATATGGAATGAGAGATCATTTAATAGCAAATATATCAAGGTATGTAATTTTTATCTTTCATATTAATTTTACATACAGCGTTACTTTATCAATATGTGTAAATGACTTTTGAAACTCAGAAATAAAATGTTTTGGAGTTGTATGTAGGATGATCAACTCTGAATTTGGCTGAGTTAAGATCTAGTTCTTCAGATAGAGCCCAGTGTGTGACTTTTTAAAAATCTTGCACTCATCCCAACCTGAATTGCCCACTATCATGTGCTTCTGCATTTTTTTTCTGATTTATCTTGCTCCAACTTGTAAAAAGCCCTAGATCCCCATAAGTCCCACAGGAGAGAGTGATTCCTCCATGCCATTGAACACCCTCCTTCTCTAAAGTACACTTTTGGCAGTTCACTGCTCCTACTATTATGGCAGTTGGTTGTGCAGGACATGTCGCATTGTTCCAAAATCTTGTTGCCAACTGGAACCAGTTGAAACTCTGCAGAACTTCCCTTTGGAATGATAACATCCTTTAACTCACAGAAGGGTCTCAGTACGTAACCTAGTATAAGTTCTTAATGAAACACAGAGTATATGTTTAATTTTATTCGTCAGAATTGAATTTGAAGTTTTCTGACAAATGCTCACGGTACCAAGTCACAGGAACTACATGACTGCTTTCAAAGCTTAATTTTGCAAGAGGCCAAGTTTCTTTCACACCCATAAAAATAAAGAGAAGTGAAAGGAGCTCAGCACTTCAAATAAGCAGGCCTTGATAGTGACTTAAAACCAAAGCCAAGATGTGGACTAGGGCATGTAATATTAAAGTAAAATTTTATTAAAGCAGAAAAATTATTTTACCTTCAATTCAATTCCCGCTGGTTGTTCTCCTCTTAATCTTAAGGAAACAAAAATAATTTCTCTCAATTTTTAATATTGGATTATATTCTCTGTGGAGAGACATTGATTTTTCTCATAGATGTGAACAAGGATTGGATCCCAGACTAGATTACTCTTAATTCTAAAACTACTAAATATATTTGTTTGCTAGAGACTTCTTTTATTTTTTCTACCTATGATTATACTAGAAGACTTATCCGGCATTGCTTAGGTCCTTCAGGGCATGGGGGATGCAGGAGTCAGGGCAGGCCAGAAGGCTGGGGGGCATGTGGGGTGCAGGTGTTGGGTTGGGGGACCGAGGAGGTGTCGGAGTGGGGGACTGCAACCACAGAGCATTTTAGTTAACTATGTATAAACCTGTTTATTCTTGAAAAGGAAGGACATGATCCTTCAAGGTGACAAGTGCAAGCCTCTACTGTTTAATTCAATAGGTGCTGAAGATGTTCAACACCTATTGGGTTTAAGTCCTTAGGTAAAGTGTCATCCATTGAAGAGGAGGATTTTTATTGTATCATATATTGTCCTTACATTTGCAGCTCCTCATTGGTTAATGGATGGGCTCCAATTGGCTAAAGCATTCCTTTGATTAGTGTCTTGTCCCTAGAAGCTGGATTTTGCCTACTTTGCCAGTAGAAGAGAAGATTTTCTCTCTTTCCAAGTGGATATTTAACTTGTATGAAGAGGGCATAATCCTGTCAGAAGTCACACAGTCTGCCACAGCCTTTATTAACCCTACATTTAATACTAAATTAATGAACTGTAATTTAGTTCTTCCTGTTTTAGTACTGTGGCTCCATAGACCAAGATTCTCAAACTCACACGCCAGTTCCACATTCTGGCTTGTGCCTGGGTGCCAGCAAATGAGCCACTGTGGCCCATGGGTGTGTCCATATATTTCCCCCACATCCTCACTGCTACCCCACCTCTTCCTGCCACTGATCTGCTCTCTCTCCCTTTCCCCCATTGCGCCCTTTCTCTTAAGCCCCCTCCCCTGAGGGACACAGTCTCAGGGATTACCAGAGGGCTTGCTCATCCTGAATAGTTGGGATGTGATATGTAAATGGTTAAGCAAGGAGCTGGCTTCTGCCCAAACACCAGCTCCCACGGAGCTGCCTTCCCCCCACATATAAATGTGTAACCACTGAAAATTTCTGCAGTTACATGTTTATCAAAATGAACACTTTTTTATAGCCCTAAATAGTACCTTACTGAAAATTGTTCTATTAAAATCCTAAAAGTAAGGTTAACAGAATCTGTCCCCATAATGCAGTTGGTATTACCCCTTAAACCATAAATCTTCTTAAGGACCACCACTCTAGTAGGTGGGATTAGTGCAGAGAGCAGTAGGGCAGTATTTTTGCAATCTGTATGTAGTCTCGGAAGTCATTCCTTTTCACAATAGTATGTCCTCAGGCAGAAACAGGCAAACCTGTAAAACATGGAAAATGAAATAGGTAATGGTAATTGACAGCCAAAAGTGGATCAGATGTTCTGCCTTATTGGAAAAGCCCACAGAATTGAACCCTCATTAGAGATGGTTTGTCAAGTGGAACAATGTTTTTATTTTCACAGAAATCTACCTTAATTATTTTAACATAACATTAATTTGTCCTCTTTCAGGGGTTTTCTTGGCCATGTATGTGCAATTTTCAGGGATTGATTCTCAACCTGCAAGTAGGTGGAGAATCAGTCCCTGCAAATTGCACATACATAGCCAAGAAAACACCTGAAAGAGGACAAATTAATGTTATGTCTCACATATAGTTATCTAGAATAGTGATAGAAATGTAGCCGTGTTAGTCTGGGGTAGTTGAAGCAAAATGCAGGACAATGTAGCACTTTAAAGACTAACAAGATGGTTTTAGATGATGAGCTTTTGTGGGCCAGACCCACTTCCTCAGATCAAATAGTGGAAGAAAGTAGTCACAACCATATATACCAAAGGATACAATTAAAAAAATGAACAAATATGAAAAGGACAAATCACATTGCAGAACAGGAGGGGGATGCGGGGGGGGGGGGAAAGGAAGGAAGGTAAGTGTCTGTGAATTGATGATATTAGAGGTAGGGAGAGTGGGATGTTTGTGAGTTAATGGTATTAGAGGTGATAATTGGGGAAACTGTCTTGGTAATGGGTGAGATAGTTCAAATGTTTGTTAAGTCCTTTATAGGATTTTCCTTCCATGCAAGTCTATGCATTTTGCCTTGTCAGGCCTTAATCAGTCACTCAGCAACATAATCAATCTTCCTACGACATATGCTTATCGGGAAGAAGTTGTTCTCACAGTCATTTGATATCCATATGCTGATGACCCCTTGGGAGTGTTGTCTTTCCGGTGAAAGTTATCAGTTCGCTGTCAATGGGTGTTTGCCACTAACTTCAGGGTTCGTTAGTCTGCCCCAGTAGTCTGCGTCTTCAGTGTGCTTTCACTTAGTTGATAATTATTTGGTGATTCTGAGTCTCCGGCCCCTTCTTTGACCATTTGAGCATGCAGTAGCCTTCACGCTTCTCTCTCCTAAAACATTGTGTGTGTCTCATTCACACAAACAGTACATTAGGACTACGTCTAGACTGCCCCCTCTTGCGCAAGAAAATATGCAAATGAGGTGAAGTGAATATTGCGGTGCCTCATTTGCATACTTAATGAGCCACCATTTTTGTGCAAGGGACTTTTATTTATTTATTTAATTAATTTATTATTTACAGTAGTTGTAAATAATTGGGAATAATGGACTACAGTCGGAGATAATGTAGACTAAATATTGGGGAAAAACTGATACGTCCTTTATTCTGTAAAATACTTTCCTAAAGGAAGTAGTAGAAATACAAACTCTTGAAACAGTGCATTAGAAAGTGTTCCATAGGGACTAACTCTATACTTACAAGAAGACTAAATGAAAGTACATCTTTACCATTTGTAAAATTTAGATACTGTTTCATTTTTCTGGATCCTAAAATAAGGGTATAAACAACTTCCTCATTTTTATATTTATTATGGTGTTTCCAGCTCTAAACTTCATTGTGTGGTAGTTAACCTACGGCCATCACTGACTTTTTTTTTTTATTTATATAAATTCAAATATCCTAATTTCCCTTATGTACTGTACAGTCTGGGACAAACTGAATTTTGGAGTTTGGCACGATAGAAGAACTTTTTGTGTATTTTGATTGCTAGCTTGTGACTGACAATCTTTTGCTGAGTACGCTCTTGACAACTGTTCTGTATTGATGTGTAAGAGGGAGGGTTTTTTAACAATTGTAAAATATTCATTTGATAACCAAGGAAAACTTTCTGTTCCAAACCTTGGTTTGTACCAGTTTCACACAACACTTTTTTCCCCTTTCTCCTTTCACTTGCAAAGCTATTAAGGTACACCTTGGATAAACAAGGTTTGCAGCGAGTGAGGATCATAGCCAGTGATAACCAGTGGCAACCAATTTCCTTTTACATGATGGTCGATTCTGAGCTTCATAAAGTGGTCGATATCATAGGGTAGGTCACTTTCTTCTTTTTTGTTAACTGCTTTCCTGGTAGCTTGTTCTCATGTACATGCACTGTTTGCTCACATATAATTTCAAAGAAGTAGAGTTTGCTAGAAGCTTTGGCTTTGGTAAGCTCTCACTAGAGATTTGATACCTTAACCTTTCTTGCTAAATAATTTGCTCAGTTGGGTTACAGCTTCCTATGGTAGCCTGGCTCCTTTCAAATTCCACCAGAGTAGAGTTAGCATTAAAATCTGCTGAGTTGTGTGCCCAATCAATTCAGTCACAGTCCCTGCCCCGACTGTGACCAGTCCTGCCTATTTTAGGGACTGATTTGAACCTCCACTGAGGGTGCACACAACTTGTTTTGATGCCAACCTTTGCTGTGGCTGGTTTCCCCTAAGGAAACTGGCAAAAAGTGTCATAGATCATAGGTTGAATTGAGTCTTATTTCAGCTGTGATCCAATTTAGGGATGTGAATGACTAGTCAACTAGTTGCTGCCCCCCCCCCCTCCCCCCTCCCGCTCCCTCCCCTTCCCCCGTTACTGCCTCTATGAGAAAGAGACAGCAAGGGTGGGGGAGAGGAGAGGGTGCTTCAAAGCAGTAGCGACACGTGGAGCCCAGGGTCAGCCTGAGCCTCCTCTGCTGACCTTGGGATCCATGTGGTGCTGCTGCTTTGAAATGCCCCATGGAGCATGATGCTGGGCTTCCTGCAGTGTTTCAAAATGGCAACACTGCATGGAGCTTGGGGTCAGATGTGGATTGTTTCAGTCCCCCGCTGGCCCCATGCTCTTCGTAGCACTTTTGTCTTTGAAAAGTATAGCAACAGCCCTGGGACCAATTGCATCGACTGTTCAATTAGCCAATTAATCTAAATTTAACATCCCTAATCCAACTACCAATGCTTGATTCAGTTAATCTACTGAATACTCGTTACAGGTTTAGTTTAGGTAGACAGGGCTTGTTTGTGTGGAGACTTATAAGACCATCAGACTGGTGGATGTGTTTTTCTTAGTTGAGTTTTGTTGGATGATACCAGTGATTTAGCTCAGAAGCAGAAAATTAAAATTAACTACAGACCTGTATTGATTCTACAGTGCTGTCAATTTTCAATTAAGATTAGATGCTTATTTGAAAGCGATGTTCTAGGATATTTGGGATTGGGGAAATTCTATGGCCTAGTGTCTACCAGCTGTCAGACTGGATTATCACAGATGGTCCCTTCTAAGCTTAGTATCTATGAATGTAAAACTACTGTAAAAAGGATTAAAGGTATCAGCATGTGTTCATCTTACTAGGAACCTTTGAAAGTATCTTTTCTTTTTAAGTTTGATATTACTGTTGATTTATTCCAGCTGCCATTGACTGAAGGCAAATAGTAATTCTGTTTTTAATAGTGTCTTGGAAATAAAGGCATCAAGTGGTTCCTAGTAGTTATGAATTTAAAATATCTTATTATGAAAGTATCTTATTATGAAAGTGGGGGTTGCGTTTCATGCGGTGGTGTCTGTTGGGACCGGGACATAAGGTTGGGGGAGAAAGGGGACCGGGTTACAGCAGGGAGGGGAGGTGTTTGGCTCTGGGGAAAGGAAGGCGAGGAGAGGAGAGGGGGATTGGGTTGGGAGTATGCCCCTGTGACAGGTCTGCCAGGACCCTCACTGCCTCCAGCGAGGGGGGGTCACCAGGGAATGGTGTGGCGAGCGGCAAACCTTCCACCACTTTGCAGGGAGATGAGGGAAGCCCTGCGCAGCCGCAGCCCCCGGGATGGTCGTGTAATTAAAAAAAGTTCCCTAAAAAAAAAATCGTGCTATTGTGAAAACATGTTAAGCGGGCACGTGTTAAATGAGGAATTGCTGTATATAAGGTTGAGTAAATACATTATTTCAGGAAAGTCTGTTTCCCTACCACTTCTGTCTGGGTTGGGTCAAAGTGGATTAGATAGTCAAAATGAGAAAGGTAAAGAGTGGTAAGACAGAAAAGGCCGTATCCTAGTTAAAACTTAAAACTTTCATACAGATATGATATTGCATAATTAAGACTTCAAGTTTTATGGAAACAAGTTTATTTTGTAAAGTCTCATCAGGATAGACTTATACAGACTGCAAGTTAATGAAAAAGTCTGAATATCACAATACTGTGCTCATGCATAAAAGTAAAATGTTATTTTCTACTCCATTTTCAGTCCAATACTGAGAAATGCAAAAGTCAAGGAGCATAGATAGTAAATCTGGAAAATCTTTTTTTTTTTCAATGTAGAGAATGGAGGATGAAATTCGAAGTAATGAGAAATGTGTTTCTTAAAAATCATTTTTTTTACCTTGTTGCTGTAATTGAAATTTAATTTAGTCCTATTATACAAAATTTCTGCCACTCCCAGAAGATCTGTTTTTATATGGAAGTGGTACTTCTCCATGGCCTATGATATAAAATACATGTAATGTTAAAATGTTTGATAATACCTAGACCAGTATTACTGTAGAATCTAGGAACCCTGGTCATGGATTCAGGATCCATGCTAGGTACTGTGCAAACACAGATTAAAATGATTGCCCCAGTGTCTTGATTAAAATGCAGCATTTCTCTTTCTTGCTTGAAAGTTTTTGAAATGGAAGGAGGCAATGAAAATACCACTTAGCCAATGGCTGTGGAATGAAGAATAAATGTCAAAAGCAAGAGCAGTTATCTCCCTTAATTAAAAATGTGATGCTGTTAGTATTATACTGCGTTATTTCTGTATTGCCTTTCCAGAACTCATTCTTTCTTCCAATACTCCCTGCTGGTTTGTTAATTTCCCATTGTCCTTCATCGTATCTCTTCCCGCCACAAAGTTTCCATTCCATTTATAAATACTTTTTACCAAGGCTATTAGCCAGGGGATAAAATGGTGTCTTTGGCCTCTGTTTGTCAGAGGCTGGAGAGGGATGGCAGGAGACAAATCGCTTGATCATTGTCTTCGGTCCACCCTCTCTGGGGCACCTGGTGCTGGCCACTGTCGGTAGACAGGATACTGGGCTAGATGGACCTTTGGTCTGACCCAGTATGGCCGTTCTTATTAATCAATCCTAACTTTATTCTGTAAGAGTCACATTTGCTGCTGCCATCCAAAGATGGGGAACAGCAAAACACTGGGAAATCAGGGATCCAGTTATGGCATTGTAACACTGTAACTTAATGATCCTCAAACTGTGAGGTGTGACTCTGACAGGGGGGCATGGAGGAACATTTTTTTGGGGGAGGCGAAGGGCTTGGCAGAGCCTGGGCCAGTGTCCCCCTCCTCCAACTGAGGGGCATGGAAGAAACCCCATCCAACCCTGCTTCTCCCCAGCTCTGCTCTGGCTCTGGTCCCAGCCCCAGAACATAGTTTGGCAGTGGCTTCCTCTCCTGACCTCCAGCCTTAGCATCTGGCTCTGCTCCCAGTCCCAGCTGTGGCCCCTGCCCCAACCTCAGCCCCCTTATCTCTGTCTGCCCCACCTCCCTGGAGTTGTGGCTCCCCTTTTCAGCTGAGGGTTGGTGGTGCAGACATGGGAAAGGGGAGGTGGCACCATGAGAAGTTTTAGGGCAGGGGTTTTCAAACCCTGGCTTGTGGCATATAAGGGCAAGCCACTACCTGGCCTCGAGGTGCTTTGTTTACCTGCCGCTCTGCAGGCATTGGTGATCACAGCTCTCATTGGCTGTGGATCGCCCATGGGAGTGGCAGGAAATGGCCAATGGGAAGGGTGGGAAATGGTGTCCTGAGCTATGCGACTTCCCACCCCTCCTATTATCCGGGAATGGTGATCTGTGGCCAGCAGACGTGCAAGTAAACAAAGTGCTATGGCCCAGGATTTGAAAACCCCTGGTTTAGGGACTATTTAACTAGTCTATATACTCCTCAGCACCTGAACTCCATCACATACCAGCTTGCTAGATAGAGGTTGGTGGAGAACAGTTGTTCACCTGTGTTGGAGCATAAGGAGGGGGGAAGAGGCGAGGGGTGACATTGGAACCAGATGTTTTGGTTCTAAGGCTGTTGGGGAATCTACAGAAGAGATGGGGATCACTTGGTCTGTTAAGGAAATTGGAAGATGTGAAGAATATGGCCTTTTGTTGCTGGGACAGGCACTTGTTCTTTGGCACAGTGCACCTCTTGCTGTGTGCCATATACCTTCTTTGTCTCGAGGTAGCTGAGTGGGTGGGAAAGATAGTAAAAGAGAAGATTGCAACCCCATGTTGTGTCCTCAAGAGTTTAAAGTAGTTATGGATTCAGCAGACTGAGGGCATATTAAAGGGTTGTAAATTCTTCTGATGGTGAATGCTTATTTGGTGCCATTAGATGTTTTAAAAAAGTGCCCTTTAAAATCTGATGTTTGGTAATGTGAGTCAATCAGCTAATGACAGTAGCAATAAAAAGTCAGCCTGGGTGTAATGAGGTTTGAGGAGCTGAGCTATCGCCTGCTCTATTTGGAGTTATTTAGATCTTAATAAAAGAATCCAAAGCACTAAGGCTAGTATCTGAGCGTTAGAGAGTTCATGGTCATTGCTCAGTCACTGGCATCTGAGATCAGAAAAAAAAGACCTCTGTCTCACTTTTTGTGAAACTGTTATGATTAACTATCCACCAGCAGCATAAATGAATGTCTGACAAGATGTGGGCTGTAAGCGAATCAAAGTTGCTCGTAAATATAAGCTGAAAATAACTTTTCTACCCTTTTTGCAAAATCCAGCTTCAGTCACTACTTTTTTAACCTTAAGCCTTTGGTCACCCCTTTTCTTATCAGAATAGTGTTAAGGTTCCTTCTCAGACCTCTAGCTATAGAGTTTATGGTTTTATTTGCAGTGTATAGTGAAGTTGATTCCTTGGTTCCTCTGTTATATAAGGGGAAACTAAAACTGCCCCGTATTGTCTGAAATAAGCCTTGAAACTGTTTTGAGGCTAAATTGCATTAGTGAATCTGTGATAATCAAACCAGTGTGAGCACAAAAGGTCGTCTTTGATGAAAACAAATATCTGAGTTAGGAGTGGGAAAGATCTAGCAAAGAGAAATGGGCAGAGCTGTTATCGTATTGTGTATATAACCTCCGTTATTACAGCTGCTCCAAGTTTTCAATTTTTTTTGGCTCTAACAATACACTTGCTGAATGTTCGAAGAATTGATTTCTGAGGAAAGAGTATAAGAGTGAAACATAAATAGCGTGGATAAATGATGCCTAAAAGGAAATTAATCTGTATGTATTAGCGATGTAAAATCCTGTTTAATTAGTTAACTGGTTAAACGTTAAGTTTAACTGGCTAGCTAATTTAAATGGAGGTGGATGAGGTCTGCAGCAGCCCCCGCTGGTTAACAGTGACCGGTAAGCATCACCTGGTAAGGGTGATGCTTAACAGCTACCCCTTCACATCTGTAGTATGTAAAGTGATTTCAGGAAAACCAGTGCTAAACAGAGGGTATGTAGCGTTATGGCGCTATTTCGAAATAGTTCTGTTTTGAAATACAAAATGCGGTGTAGATGCGGCTATTTCGGGAGAACACCCTTCTTCTGAAATAACTGTTAAACCTCATTTTATGAGGAATAAGGTTTAATTCAAAAGAAGGATGTTCTCCCGGAATAGCTGCATCTACACCATGTTTTTGTATTTTGAAATCGTGCCATAACGTGATTATGCAAATGAAGCACGGGATATGTAAATCCTGGCTTCATTTGCCATTTCGAATGTCTTCATTTGCATCCCTCTATCGAAAGAGGGTGCAGGTGTAGACCTACCCAGAGAGAGTTTATTCAGGGTAGTACAAGTTAGTATAATTAGCATCAGTGGAATAAAAGTGAGGCTAAAAATCAGGAAAATTGCTTAGGAGGATATGGAGTAGAAAGCCTGATTTCTGTGTGATTATTTAAAACTAGACTTGTTAAAGTATCAGAATTCATTCAAAGGAAAAATTATTAATTGGTACAGATGGGTCTAAACTATTAAATATTTTAGCTTTCCTCTGGAGCTACCCAGTATGATTCTCTGGAGTGAAATCCATGCATTGATTTATTTATCTGGCACCAGATATTTTGTTTGTGGTTTGAGCTCATGTGGCTTGAGTTCTCCTGATTTTCTTGTGTTGAGTGCTGTTTTTGTTTTGTTTTTGTTTTTAATGTTATCCAGGGCTCATTACCCTGGGACAAAAACAGTGGCTAATGCTTTAGCTACTAAGAAGAAACTATGGGCTTCAGAAGACTACAGCACTTTCAATGATGCAGTGGGTGCAGGCTGCTGGGCTCGGATCCTGAACCAGAACTATGTGAATGGAAATATGACCTCGTAAGTCATGCATTCAGTCAGTTATAAAAATAACTTCAGCTTAGTATCATGATTACAAGGCTAATTGCAGTTCCCTGGCCCTGAGTGCACTCCTCAGGCCTTGTGCCTTTACTTCTCCTGCCTGGAATTTCAACAGTTTAACACTTTTAGATCAGATTATGACACTTGTAACTGTCTTACCATTTCCTGATGATAATCTAGTCAAACTAACTTGAGACACCTCAGTAAGTATCTGCGGGTACGTCTAGACTACATGCCTCTGCCGACAGAGGCATGTAGATTAAGCTACCCAACAGAGTAAAATGAAGCGGCGATTTAAATAATCGCCGCTTCACGAGTATCTGCATCTTCATCTGGTTCTGTTAAACAACTCCACTTATAGCCTTTCCCAGACCTCTTGAGAGAGACACTTCTGCTTTAAATCTGTCCTATTTTGGTTTTGATTTTTCTGGTTCTGAGACCTCTTCCTGTCCTGGTGAGGGTTGGGTAGGAATTGTTTCATGGGAAAAATCTGTTATGAGGAAGAACAAAACCAGAAAAGGTTGGCAGTTTACTACCAAAAAATAAATTTCAGAGAGGTGAGAGGTGGATTGATCAAAACGTTTTATTCTGACTTCACTAGTTTACAGTTTAAAAGTGTTTGTAATTTAAAATTTTGAAATGAGAAGGAATCTCAGAATAAAAAATCAATGTTTGTTTAAAAAAATTTCAAAACATTCCATTTTGATGTAAAAATGCTTCATGGTTATTTTTGAAACTGAAATTGGTAAAAATCTACCTTGTCCTTTGAAATGATTTATTATCGATGGATTGGCATGTGGAGGTGATAAAACAATCCATTAGAAGATTCCAAACTAGTTCTAGCCCTGACAAATGTGTAATATTAATCTGCCAAAGGAAGTGGATCCACTGGAATGTTTAATTTATGCCGATATACATAGGCATTCTATCATAGCACCGAGAGAAATATTTTGTTAAATTCTTGTGCATTCAAAACTATTGTGACTTTTAAAATAAAACTATTTTCCAGAACTATTGCTTGGAATTTGGTGTCCAGTTATTATGAAGACTTGCCCTTTGGTCGGACTGGATTAATGACAGCGCAAGAGCCATGGAGTGGTCATTATGTAGTGGAAGCTCCCATCTGGATCACAGGTAAATAAAAAGTCCAGATAAATCTACTAAAGTACTGACAATACAATACTCCATTTTCTATACTAAATTAAGCTAGTACAATGTCCTCTATTTTTGGTGTTTAATGTTTTTCTTTTGTTTGGATACAGCACTTCTATTGCTCATTTTAACTTTCTTAGCAATAGGACTCTCCCTTATTCATTTTGACTAGAGTGCAGGCAGGAAGAAATCCTTACAGGAGGTGAGAACTGATTCTCTAATCTGACTTGTGCACACATATATGATTTATATTGATGTACTTCCTGGTTTCCACTATTAAAGATCTCTATTTTCATTGCAAACTGCAGTTTCTTGATTTTGTAAAATTCTGTGTTTTTAAAAAGAGAAAAAAGGGGTTTGGATCTAAAAGCTAGGACTCTGCCTGATTTTTATTTTCTATTTTATTTATAAAATGTTTGGCTACTTGAATTTCAAGAGGGAGGAAAAGAAACCAAAACATTCTGTTTGTGCTGGTTGAGATGACTTTGCTCTGTGTATACTAAATAAACCTTTTATGTACTTACAATTTGAATATGCATTTATGGATCCAGTGACCACCCTCTGGTCCACTCATAACCTTTGCTTATCCCTGCAGATGTGGTGACCAGATTAGATGACCTACCCCTTCTCCCCTGTGGCAGAATCATGGGGAAGGTCCCCTATTTTGGATATTCTATTATGCATATGCAGATAGAAAAGTGTATCATGTAGCAAGGTGTTCAGATGTAAGAATTCGGCTATACCCATTTTCTTCATTCTTTGATCTCTTTCCAGTTAACTAGCCAGAATTCATGCCTTGCATATTCTAAGCGGCTTTCTCTTAAGGTAATGTGTAAGGTTGTAAAAATCAGTGACATGGAAGCTACAAAATAGTAACAGGATGATCTTCCCGGCATGAATGCTGACCTTTCTTTTTGGTTTCTTTTCACTGTTGCGCAGCACACACAACACAGTTTACCCAGCCTGGCTGGCACTACTTGCAGGTGGATGGACATCTAGAACATGGTGGCAGCTATGTAGCTCTGACCGATGGCCTAGGCAACCTTACTATCATCATTGAAACCATGGTAATGTTTACCAGTAATCAACAAAGCAGTACATATTTAGGAGGACTTTTCTTAAAAAAAAATAAAAAAGCTTGCAGAAAACTCTGTGCGTGAATATTATATGTTCCTTCTTTGTCTGCCAGCTGGGATGATACAGATACAGGAGGCCCCCAACATGTGACCACCCAATTTCTGACCCCCCCGCACTTACAGCCATTTTTGTAAGTGCGGAAGGTGCCAACCCCCCCCCCCCAACTTATATCCTTTGGCCCGCATTTATGATGGTGAACGGCGCCTATTGTAAATGAAGGCTTGAGTTACGATGGCCCCGATTTGTGACGCTTCTCCAGGAACAGATCACGTCACAAGTCAAGGGCCTCCTGTATTTAGATCTTCTTGGAAATCAGGATGTGTGTCAAACTTGCATCTCAGCTTTAACTTTTGATGCAGTGCTGTAGAAAATTGTTAGATGAATAATGTATTTACTACAGTTTTAACCTCTATAGGTACTTTATTCTTTTACCTCTTAAATCACATTAACAAGTTCAGTATGTGCCGAAAGATTATCAGCCTTTTTTCTTTTATAGATAGAAGAGCAACTTCAGGCTTTGAAGTATTTGTGTATAATTAATATTTACTCCGCATGTTCTATCATATCCTATAATATTTGTGGGGTTTTCAAGCAAGCATTAGCATCCACCAGCCTCTTCATTGGTGGCTTGAGGGTCAGCACAGTCTTCTTCACCAATCTCTTGTGATAGGGTCCTGGAAGATGGTCTTTATTCTCTCCTGATCTTTGAAATTTGAGCTCTTGATTAGTTGTGATTGGTCATTTGGAAGGTCCTTAATTTTTAGTTTACTGCCTTTTTTAGACTGAGAAATTCTCAGGTTATTCAAAAGATATTTAGCTTTTAGTGATTTTTTTTTTTAACCTGAGTTTTGGATCATTCTACAGACTGCCTGTACTAATTTGTTAAGAAAATAAGATGCACATAAGCACATAACAATACTAATTTGTTAAGAAAATAAGATGCATTATATTAGCTTTACTTTAACAGATTACCTTAAACATCAGCATATCTATGTAGAAGTTATATATAGATGCATGCACATTTTTATGTAATGTCAAGTTCATAAAATAAACCATACCATGAAACTGCTTTTTACTTTCAGTACTCTTACTTTCCTCTATTTATTGCTTTTCTGTCCTCCTGTCCCCAATATTCTTCCAATAAATTGTGTCTAAAGCTAACTTTTGCACTGTTTTTAACTTTATTTTAATTTTTTGAAATAAACACTGATAAATTCCCAGGAAGATTTACATAAATTAAAAACAAAAAATGAAGGGCTTTGGTCATGTGATATTCTGAGTTCCTTGATTGAATCAGCATAATATTTTAAAATCAGGAGGAGGAAACAGTAGAAAGGTTATAGTATGAGAGAGTAACAGATGAAGCAGCACTAGGGTTTTTTAATTATCTTTTCTTTTCTGGGCAACTTGCGGGCCTTATAAGAAGTGTCTATGCCAAGATTTGTAAATGTGACTTGGGATTTTTGTGGTCTTGTTTGCGATACCTTAAAGGTGCCTGATTTCAGAGTTCTGAACGAATCCTCATCCCCCAAAATCATGCTTCTTTAAGGTATCTCAAATTGAGTACCCAGAAAGAATCAGTTCAGAAAATCTTCACTGTTGTCCCTGCAGAAATCAAACTGCTGTAAGACTTATTATCTGGATGTAGAGTTCATTTAACTTTGTTTCATCTGAACTAGATCAATTTTGTGTGCATTTTAGTCCTAGGTGTGAAGGAGGTGACCTATTCATTCTCCAGCTCCTTAATTGCTTTGATTCAAGTAGTCTGTCAAGGAGTCTTGAAAATCCTGCCAAATGGATAATTTAAGCAGCATCCCAAATAAAAATATAAACTGCTTTGCTGACTCTAACTTCCAGTACCCCCAAAACAGCAGTGAACTTGGAATAGGGATGTAAATAACTTTTAATTATTTAAACAGCAAAAATGATAACATTTAACTGGTCAGCCACCTGCTTCCCTTGGGCTGCTGCGGCATGGACGGGGCTGGCAAACAGGGATCCTGACGGCCAACCCAGGCCAAATCAAAGCACTGGAATGGGGGTACTGCCAGCCTGCCCTGTGCAAGCCTGACAAAGGCATGGCCCTGCCTGATGGTCAAAGCACTGGAATGGGGGTACTGCCGGCCTGCCCTTTTCAAGCCTGACAAAGGCATGGCCCTGCCTGATGCCCCCACATAGCTGGTTGGGCTCAGCCAGGACTACTCCAGAGTGCTGCGATTGGCTGTCCAACTGGTTACTCGGTAAGCATTCTGGTCAGCCAAATACTTGCCAGTTTACCTTTTACATCCCTAACTTGGAACTAAACCAGTTTATCATTTAATCCCTTTTGTTAATGTTTATGACTTTTGACTTGTACTTGGGGATCTTGACTCCCGGCAAAACTGGCAAATGACCAATTTCAATTATGTATGTTCTATCTGTTCATTTTCTTTCCAGACTTATTCTCACTCTCAGTGTATCAGACCTCCATTGCTGCCCTTCAGAGTGTCACCTCAAAAAGCAACTTTCTACCTCAAAGGATCCTTTGTAAGTAAATATTTGTTTGTATGCATCATATAAAGTATTCAGGGAAATTGGGCTGCTGCATATAATTTGACACATGTACACAGGACCTATAACAAAATAAGATGTCATGGCATAATGAATTAACTTTATTCATGTGAGTCATGTTGGCTTCTAATTGTGTTCATGTAATGGATAAGGGACTGACTACTACTGACGTTGGCTTCTAACTGTGTTCATGTAATGGATAAGGGACTGACTACTACTGGAAGCAGAAAGTTCTCCTTTAACTGATGTGGTGGAGCCCTGTATTTTGGGGGCTGAAAGATGAGCATTGTAGTTCTCATTCTACAGGGTATAGGAGAGACTTGCATAGTTATTGTACTCATAGAAGAACGATTTGTTACACTATGCTCACCTTCACCTTCACCAACCAACAACTGACTTCCCCAACCCTGAAAATCATTCAAAGAATGTCACTGGTTTTTCCTTAATGTTTTGCTGAAAATACTTTGGTGACATGGGGAATAAAATATTTTGCCTTATTTGACCTGGAAATCCGCCACTTTCTCCCTCCGTTGTGGTTTCTTCCTCCCTTAGTAGGGACAGATCCTCTTCCTGTAAAAGATTGTTTCAGTTGTCTCCTCCTGTCCCTATTTTGCTGAAAAGGAGAGGCCGTTGCAGTTTAAACAGATACTCTGGCTATCTCTCTGTAGCTGGGTGGGTGGGTGAATGAGAATGGCTCGGCTGGGAAAAAATGTGAGTAGTGCTCCAATAGCCACAGTAACTAGTCTGTGTTAAATGGCAAATACAGGGAGTTACTTATTAGAAAATGAACATTTTTGAATGCTCTTAAGTTTTAATTTCCAGTAGGAATTGGTTCCTCTCCCTTCCCAGCTGTGCAGGCTGCTGTGTTACTGAGGTATCATTCACTACGTGAATAAGGAAAGAGAAGAAATGTGAGCAGCCCTCATGCATTGCTCTTGGAACACAGCCTGCCTTAGTGCTCTAAGTGGTACTGCTTTTACACCATAGAGCTTGCCAGGCAAATTATATAAGAGCTCCTGTAATAACAGTTTACATGTTGCATCTCTAACTCGAGATTTTCTGTTCACTGTGACTAAATTCAAACTCAAGAATTTTGGTGAATGATTGTGTTTAAGTAACAGGGCAATAGTTGCCCTCATGTTCTTGTAACACTAGGATGCATCAGCTATGTTATTTACTGGTTCTAATTAGGCCCAGGCACTAGTGACCAAAATTTATGATCAAGTAGTTATCCAGATTGCCTCATTCATTTCATAGAGCTGTATAAGCCCAGTTGCTGGAAGTTAGTGTCTGTATTGGAAACTTCCTCATAGTTGGTACTAATTGGCCATCTTGTTGGCATTCTTGACAGAAGCTAAGGATTCAGTGGGCTGTTAAGAGTGAATTCTCCTCTTTCTAAAATCTATTCCTGCGCATTAGGACTGAGCCCAACTGATGTGAGGAAATTGTGAGCTGCCACAACCTGTGATAAACCTGTTTTGAGCATAAGCAAAGGATTAAGCTGCCCACCCAACTTGTTTCACTAAAAAAAGACTTAGATGACTCTACATCCTCAGTCTTTCCAAAGAAGAATCTTATGAAAGTTTTTGTATGTTTCTACCTAGCAAAAAGTGAAAACCCTGAAAATGTGGTATACTAAGCTTGGCTTCAAATCTGCAAACACCACCTTATTCCATCCACTTCCTCCTGTAAAGGTGAGTTTGTCACTTACTGATCACTGTTCATTCCCTCCCATTCCAAACCTTTAGTTGTTCTGGGGGATTGATGGGATGTGTTAGGAAAACCTGGTTAAAATTGGTTTTGACATCTCTGGCTTGTTCAAAGATTTATGTACTAGGTTTAATCCTATCCAGCTCAGTTATAGGTGCAAGGTATAAAAGTGGATTTACTTCAGATTTCCCTTTGTGGGAGAAGAATTTGGCTCATTGGAATTGACAATATGTATTGTAGGTGTGTATTATTTCCTATGTAATCATAAAATGTTGAGCAGGATGGAGAATACTGAGGAGATTGATTTTCCTGTTAGCAAGAGCCTTGCTGCATGACTGTTGCATTACTCTTTCATGGTAGCTGGAGTGAATTTTTAGAGAGGAGGATGGAGTTAAGTGACACATTAGTGAGGTATACCCCAAAAGAAACCCTGTTCTTTCCTCAGGTCTTCCCCTTTTCTTACGTGTATACTTGAGTGCTAAAGCAGGTACCTAGTGGATCAAAGACGTTACTGCACAGTGCAGCAATTAAACTTGCTTACACCACCTATGTATCCCTGACACTTGTATTTTTGCTAGAGTGCATCAACCTCGCACACTCTTGCACAGAGATTTGCAGGGTCAAGGTCTTATGTTTCTTTGGCCAGGATCTCCCACCTCCCGTCTTCACTGCCTCGACTCGATGTTCTCTTTGGGGCCTGCTGCTTTTTTGTGGTGGTATTCTTTCCACATATTTAGAAGTAATGTGTGGGAAGAGGGATTGTGGTTGCCAGTGAATCTGTTATGTCCCAGATAATGGGAACACGGGAAAACTGAGATGCTTCTGCAGACCTGGTGCTGATTGCCTCGATAAGTGCCACCTCTCAAAAAGCTGTTCTTAACAGTACTGGACCTTGGTTACTTTCTGTTGTAAATGAGTGTTTCCAGATGGATCCCTGTACTGCCACCTGCTACTTCTCCTCTTCATTGTAACTTTCTGGTATCTTCATGCTGAGAATGGACAATAATAGCATTATGCCTCATTAGCTCATTTACAGGTAAATCGCAGAATTACAGATAACTGGAGGATGGAGTGATGAACAGAGTTAGGCAGTAGAGCTCAGCATATCTGTAGGGCAATTGCATCCATTAATGGAAGACACTTGATTTGTATTGACTCAAAGCTACAGGAAATGCTGCAGATTTTTAGCACTTTAGTTGCCTCCTGCAGTTCCTTAGCTCTTGCTTTCTTTCATTATAGGTAAATGAAGGAGTGTTCAGCTTAAATCTAGCTGTGGATGAAGTCTACACTTTAACCACCCTCTTGGCAGGCCAGAAGGGCACTTACCCAGATCCTCCCCAGTCCAAGCCTTTTCCTTCAAATTACAAGGATGACTTCAAAGTTCGTAAGTCGACTCTTAATTTCTTAAGGGCTGTGCTGATCATGTGAGCAGAAGGGCTTTGGTGCTTAGAGGTTGGCATTAATGTGGCCTAGTCTACACTAACAAGTTAGGTTGATGCAGTTGTATCAACTGGATATGAAAAAGTTACTCCTATGAGTGGCATAGTTAAGATGACCTAATGCCTGCTGTAGACAGCGCTGGGTCAATGAAAGAATTCTTCCTCTGACCTAGCTGCTATCTCTTGGCGCAGGTGAATTTCCTACATTAATGGGAGAACCCCTCCCATTGGCATAGACAGTATTGACACTGAAGTGATAGAACTGCTATGCTGTTGTAGTGTTTCAAGTGTAGCTGGTTTGCTAGAGAATTAAATACATCACACGTAATGTAGCCTTCAGGCTGCTACTGGGTTTCTTTTACTTCTAGTCTGGCAGCTTCTTTCCCGGGTCTCTTCCCCCAAACAATCCCTCCCATTATTTTTCCTATGATGCCTGAATAAGTCAGTCCTTCTCCTCTACAGCAGTCTGCCTTTCTTGCAGATCTTCAGCTCTTACACATACAGTTTCACCTTCTCTCTTCCAGATCTTCTACATATACACTGCCCTCTGCAGAGATCCCTTGTAAGCAAGCCCCAGCAGGCCTTAATGGGCTGCAGGTGCTCTGATTAGGCTGCTGCTTCTGGCAAACTCTTAAATGGCCTCAGGTGCCTGCCTGATAATACAGCACAAGGTTCTGCCCTCTATATACTCAGGGAATTGGAAATTGTTTACCCAGAGCCCTGTGTACCTGTCCTCCATTAGAGTGCGGCAGCCAGCTGGTCTGGGTCTGTCTCATGCTTATATACTGAAATGTAAGAACATTTATATTCTAAATGATGTATTTTATAATTATATGGTAAATGAAAGGTAAGCAGTGTTTTAGTAGTAGTGTGCTATGACACTTTTTTTGTATTTTTATAGCTGATTTTGTAAGCAAGTAGTTTAAGTGAGATGAAACTTGTGGGTATGCAAGACAAATCAGATTCCTGAAAGGGGTGTGTCACATTGCAAGCAAGCTTTGTCCTGAGGCTGCACATCCTAATGGCTAGAGTTGGTAGGGTTAACAGCCCCAGTAGTGGGAAGCTGGGCTCCCCCTATTCCACCGGGCTCCGACCCAGGCCCCTGTAAGTGGCAGAATGCTCTACCACTCACTCAGGAGGGAGTTCAACCACAACATGCTGAGCTCACTCAGGTGGGAGGAGGGAGGGAGTTCAATCACAACACGCTGAGCTCACTCAGGTGGGAGATACTACTCCTGCACCCTCCCAGCTCACTACCTACCAGAGTCAGCATGGGGATGCTCCGTGTATCTCAGGGTCCTCTGGTTCTTGTCGTCCAGGTCTCAGGTTGGGGTGCCTCTGGAGCTCTGGCAGCAAGTCCTTCTCCGACGTCCAGCCCAGATTGAACTGAGCTACTCTCTTTTATACTATTCCAGTCCTTGAAGCATGCTCAGTGTGGCTGGAGTGGGGACGGGGGACTTCCTCTACCCACAAGGCATTAAGTCCTCCTGGCCCAATGTGGGGTATACACATCCCATCACAAGTTAGAGTAGTCTGAAAAAATTGGGAGCCACTTTCCATCACAAGGTAGAGTAGTCTGAAAAAATTGGGAGCCACTTTCATCCACATTACAAGCTGATGTCTTTATAGAAGTCTTTCTACTACAAACACTCTGAGCCAACTTGCAAACAGAGAGTACAACAGTCCAGATAAACGCCCCTATCCATCTCTGTTGCCACTAATCATCCTCCCTGATCAAAGGTATTTTTGACAGGATGTTCAAGAAATATAAACCCTAAGCTTCTCGTGCTGGATATTCACCAGTTTGTTGTGTTTAGACACACAAATTGAGCTTGTGTGCTCTTTTTTGCTCACCTGGGTCTCCAGCCTCTCTGGCACATTTTCTACACACAGTCTTTGCCTAGTAATCCCTTTCTAATGCAGGCCCCACAGCCCAGTTGTCAAGCACCAGTGTTGAGCCCACCCAGACATTCTAGTAGTTTAAGCACATTTTTGCAGACCTCCATTCTTGCAGGCACTTGGGATTATAGTTTGTCCCTGCAGAAGTGCTTGAAGCAATAGACAGACTTTGCAGAAGGATTTTTTTTAAAAACAATCACCCTTTGCTTTAGACAGCCCAAAGAGATACAGGTCTGGCCAAAACAATAAACACTTGAGTATTATTCAGTTCTTCAGTTTCCTCACCACTGTTGAGTGCTTTTTCTGGATTTGGATCAGTGTCCTTTCAGCATTTTAAACTCTTTCGATGGGACTTCACTCCTTCAGGTTGGGCTTCTCTTCCAATTCATAGTCTCTTTTCTGCCTCCTTCCCCATGTTTGCTGAAAATGTTCCCCTTCTCTCTAGAAATCTGACCCTAGTCTGAGTCCCGTCTCAATTTATCAGCCTTTGAGGTTTTTTAAAGGTCTGAACTAGCACCTGTTTTTTGTTTTTATTTTTTTCCTTGTGCAAATCTTCTACAGGTTGAACCTCTCTAGTCCAGCATTCTCTGATCCAGCAATATCAGTGGTCTGACATGATTTTAGTTAGCCAGATGTCTTGGGTGTGGCCAAGTTTCCTGCAGTCTCATAAAGTTTATTTACAGCCAACTATCCTGTCTGTGTTCTGTCTTGTTATTTAGCTCTAATTTAACCCTAAATATCTTCCAAGAGCTCAATAAGCAGTGGAAGTATTGTTAATGCTGCTAGACAATATTGACCTCCCATGGTTCCACAAATTCTCTAGTTTGGCCCTGAGGGTGCTGGACTAGAGAGATTCAAACCTGTACTCCACCTTTGAAGATCACCTATACTAAATGCATTCTTCCTGCACAAGCACCCTTCTTATCACATACCTGTTAGGACAATCATGAAATATTAACAACTTCTTTATGTTTATTCTGTAGCTTCTTCCAAACATGTATATGCTATGTGATGGGGTCCCTGTCAGTGTTCCCTCTAAGCTGTGTGGCAGCACAGCTTCACAGAATCAGCCTCACCCAGTCAGAGGCTCAGGGCTCCGTGTATGAAGCTGACGGACTAGAGGAGGCTGATTAATCACCTGTGAAGCTGTTTATTCTCAAGCACAGATGTGCTGATAAATGAAATTAGAAATATGGAGAATCTCTTTGAAGAGAACTGCAGGGTGTGTGAGTAAAAGAAATAAACCTATCTCTAATTGCTGGATTTCTTTCTTCTTTGAGTAGGTAATCCACCCTTTAGTGAAGCTCCATATTTTGCTGATCAGACTGGGGTATTCGAGTACTTTGTGAACACTTCTGATCCAGGGGGCCATGCTTTCACACTCCGCCAGGTGGTGATTCAGCGACCCATCACTTGGGCTTCTGATGCGGACCAGACCATCAGCATTATAGGAAATTTTAAATGGTATGTCAAATTCACATTAACTAAGCTTTCCAGAATTCAGTTTTTAGGCTTTTTTGTAGTTTATTGAATAATATAAAAAAAATTAAAGCATTTTTTATTTTTAAGTATTTAAAATTTAAATTTGCCATATATTATTGGGAGGGTGGTCAGACAATTTATTGATTGGAAAAAAAAGTAGTTTTTTGATGGTTAAAAAGAGAAATTGTCAACATCACAATCAAGCAGTATTTTTTCTTTGCCTATCTCTAAATTCAATTATTAATAGAAATATTTTTGCTGGGCTGTGTATACATGGTAAAATCAATGTTTACTGATATTCCAAGGCTAATTTTAACTTGGGTATTTCCAATTATGTGCCATCCCATGCCCTCTCATGGGGCAGCTAGTGTCTTGATTTTTCATTCCAAAGCTAATTTGTGAGACTGATACCTGGAAGTGTACACATCTGTCTTTTTGAAAGCAAAGTATTGCAAGTGATTTTTATTTAGAATGGTGAAAATATTGTAGGCCATATTAGTGGCAGCTTGCAGTATTACGATAGAGATCAGATTTTTGTTTTTAAAATCCAGTGCACATACCTGTCCACATATTTGTAGCCAGGCTGAATGATTCCACCTAAGCTCTGTTGTACAAATAGAGAAGAATTTAAGATGACTATAAGCTTTGGGTCAGGAGTGGTTGTGCGCTCTAATATCAATGTAAATATTTGGTATTACAGAAATATTTTGTAATTGAAAGAGTTAATTTGGTTACATTGGTCTTGGGGTGCCCCCTTCTGTCCAATCCCCAAAATTGCACTGACTTGATTGATAGTGCACATGAAATACTGCATTCTAGGTAATGATGGATGTGAATGCATCAATCAGTGAGTAAGTCAAAGGACATTCATAACCAGATAAACTAAGAGGCAATCCAGTGAGCTAGTACACTGGAGTTGGAGGTCTGTTGACTTACATGCAAAGATTACTTGGAGAAAAGAGGGGATGCAAAACCAGACTTGTTCAAAGGTTGGTTGGTGTAGAAAATAATAGCAGGAATTTGGGGTTCTTTGTTCCATATTGTCAAAACGTTCCTACTCTGTTACTGTTCTGACCTCTTTCAGATTAGTAGGGCCTTTCATTTTCTTTTTTTCTTCTGCTTAATTTTTCCCCAAAATTTACTGGTATTTGTCACTGCAGCAACAAAAGCTGCTGAAAATCAGTTGCAAAAAACTATTAATTTTTCTGAACAAATATCTGCATTTATTTTGGCAGACAGAAGGCCTTGGGGGTGGGGAAGTGATTAATGTTTTGATGGATGGAATGCCATGTGGTTTGCTGCAGAACACAATGTCACCTCTGACTTTAAGAGAATAATATATTTTTTTCAACCGCGACCTCCACGGCTAGGCCTGGCTGTTGGCGGCCACATGGCATGGTGCTTAGATCCGGGTGGCCAGAGACTGGGCCTGGCCATTGGCAGCTGTGTGGTGACCCCTGAGGAAGACATCCGCGACCGCCTTGGGGGTTGCGATCGATGAGTTGCGCACCACTGATTTAGACCACTCATCCTATAATGGTTGGACGGTGAAGCTAGACAATTTCAGACCAGAAATAAAGCTTAAACTTTTAATGGTCATAGTAATTAATGATTGGAACAATGTACCAAGAATCATGGTGGATTTTCTCCATCACTGATAAACTTTAAATCAAGGTAGAATTTTTTAAAAAAGAAATGCTGTAGAAAATTTTAGGGGAAATTTTGTAATCTGTATTCTGTAAAAGGTCAGACTGCGTAATTACAGTGGGTAAGTGCTTAATTCCTATAGTGCCTTTATTCCTAAATCTTAGTGCTTTGCAAAGGTAGTTAAGTATCCTAAGTTATTTCATGGACAGTGAGTTGATGTGATTTACCCTGGTCATATACTGTGTCTGTTGGTTGGGAGTTGGTCTCCTTATATTTGGTTTGTATGAAAATCTCTGTAGAAACAGAGATTAATCTTGCGTTTTAGCAGCAGTGACAATAAGACCTGAAAAACTGGGTTTGATTCCATTGCTCTAGACTAAGGTTTGAGAGATTGCATGGGATTTGCCAAAGCTGTGCAGCTCACTTTGATGATGTGGTTGCAGGACTGAATCATCTTATTAAAGAAAATACTTATTCCTCCAGTGTGGGTCATTGGAATGTCTGTCAAGCTATACAGAGAAGACTTCTGAATGGCGCAGTACAGGCAGTCCCCGACTTAAGTGGATCCGACTTACGTCGGATCCCTAGATACGAACGGGGTGAGGCAACTCCCGCACATGCGCAGCAGCATTCCCGGGGCTCGCTCACCTGGGTCCTAGGATCCTCCTCCTCCTCGGGCCGGCTCCGACTGGGGTCCCGCAGAGCTGCCGGGCAGAGGAAAAGTGCCTCCCCACGCCCGCTGCCCCCCCTGCCAGCAACAGGCTCCCCCCTCCCCTGAGCAACAGGCTGCTGAACAGACAAAAGCAGCCTCTCTGCCCCTCCTCCCCTCTATACATGGCGCGCTCCCG